CGCCTGTACCTCACATGGCGCCCCTGGCCCCTCCTCCACCCGCTCCTCCAGCTGCACCGGCAGGAACATCTGACCGAAGCGCCCTACTAGCCTCGATTCAAGCTGGTAAAGGACTCAGGAAAGTTCAGACAAATGACCGAAGTCTTAGCTCTGTTGCAGGGCGAGTTCTCGATTAGCAAGAGGTTGTTAGTGGATTCAGTTTGCCAGAGTTTAACTGGGTAGAAAGCTATAGTCACCATGTCTAGTCGCTTCGTTTGTTTTAATCCATTATTGATAAATCAATATACTGTGTTTTACCTTAGTAACATCATAGATAAGGGGCATGCGACAGCCTTGGTTCGAGTTTTATTTTTCTTATAAAGGAATTTGATGGATAGCATGTTAAATCAGACAATGTGTTCAGAGCCAGTCACTATACATAATGGGAACTATTAAGGAGCTGTTAAAGAACTATAACAGTACAAAAGTTCCTCCCTGCTGACGGTGACGCACCAGCAGAAACCTCCGTGACACGAGGGCTTAAGCTAAAACTTCTGCAATGACATTTGTGAGGGTACTGATGCACCATAGAATCACTAAACCCCAGCCGATTTTTCGGTCCATTTTCCATTTGTTCAACGGGACTACTACCAGTAGCCCTACTAGTGTAGATAGCAATGTGGCGCCACTGATGATGAGTACCTTGGATATAGTGATCTCATACGGAACTCCGTCCGTGGCTACCGTTTCTGCTTTTGCATGAAGAGTCATGTATAGGCCACCTAGGCCAATTCCTAGAAGAATATTCAACATAGGTCCGCCAAAGCAGGCACTCAACGCCATAACTGGGTAGCCTAGGCGAGCAACGGTGATATCAGCAACGAGATCGCCCAACGAGTTTCCAACAGCGAAAACGGTCAGTCCAAGGAGTGAGTCACTGATGTTCAAGATCACTCCTAGGGTCTTGAGGAGACTGACGACCTCGGTAGCTATAGTCGCAATCCAGCATATAGCAACAATGAAACCCAGAAAAGCTAGCAAAGGACGCCATGCAGTTGGAAATTGCCAAGAATTACCATGTCGTGAACTTATGATAAGACCAGTGATGCATACCAGCGAAAAGAGTAGTGATAAGAGGAACGGTAGTAAGAGATTGCGGATGTCTAGGCCAGAATCAAGGGCTGTCCAGGCAATCAAGGCAACAAAAAAAGGGCCGGTGAATATTTGTATCCAAACTAGCCACTGACAGCATTCCTTCGGAGGCAATGCCGAAGGATCTGGCTGTGATTGAATGGCGGGCAACTCTGAGTCCCAACGTTGCCGCCCCTGCCTTGATTGACTTTTGCCTGTATGGCCTGCAGCTTGCTCGGCAGTGGATCCATGATCAACAGGTTGAACAAGAGGGCTATCCTCCGGTAACCTCACTGCAGGTACTCCCGAGTCTCCTCCATCTGCTGAAGTCACTACGACTGTTACAGGGTCTGCGCTGGTTTTGGGTTGTGCCGGCTCAATAACAGGGACAGTAATCGTCAGTAGCAGCACACTAGGAGCTGCAATCACCCCTAGTATCCTTTCCCAGAAACTCTTCGTCTTCCACCCGACCAGAGTAGGGAAGAGTGTTCGAATGATAGATGGTAAAAGAACGGAAGTGAAAGGAAACAACCACAGCATCTGGGATGAAGTTCGAGGGCACTCAGTGTCATAAATGCTGTCATGCACCTGCAGCTCCTCCGTGGGGCTAGAAACAGGTGGTAGGCGTATACTAGGTGCCCTGGAGTGCACCGGATTAGATGTATCAAGGAAGGGGGGAAATGGACTGCAAGGGCTTTCCACTGGAACATCAACGGACTCAGAGGCGAATGGTGTCCCTCGTGGGGAAATCTCAAGAGGAGATCTTGGTTCGGGCGTTTCAGCCTGGTAGTTTGGAGGGTGGAAAGTACCAGGGGGTGCAAGTAGTTGTGGAGTCCGCGGACGCGCACTTCCCTCTGGACTGGGACTTCGCCATGCTTGTCCGGACGATGATGGCGATAGTTCTGACTCGGCAGTCTTATCCGTTTGACGGGTCTGGGTCTGAACAAATGTAGATGGATCATCGACCGAGGGTCGGGTGATAGCAACGTGCGGTCGCTTTGCACCAGAATCGAACACGCTAGTATCTAACTTCAGACCCGTGGCATCATCGGCGGACACAGCTCGAGTTCGAGTTGAACTCGTTCCGCTGTTAGGCGACAGATGGCTTGCTGCAGAAGGCCTACTGACCCATGGGTGTGAAGCAACAGAGATATTATCGCGTTCTGGTAATGCCACATGAGCCCTATCGTAACCATCTGTGTACCGCTGGAGGGTAATCGGGACGTTCTGATGGGTACTTCGCGACCGCTGAAGAGAAGAAACAACGGATTGAAACTCCAGCGCACCGACCAGACTGGGTCTGATTGGGTTTAAAGTATTACGCCTGTGTTCAGAGGGACGATACACGTGCATATTATCCCGTATTTCTGCTAGATACCGGTTGCGGGTTTCGTCATCATCTCCATCTTTCCAAGGGGCCTCTCCGCCTCTCTCTAAGGCGTCAAAATCTTGCACTGAAACACCATGAAGAAGACTTGTGGATTCAGAGATGACCCCAGGTTCATCGTCTTCGGCTTCCTCGATCTCCAGTTCTTGGTTTTCAGGGATATGGAAGTGTGATCGCGCAGCTATATCCCTCTCATAGACACGACGGCGACGCACAAAGTACCAGTGCCAGGTTACGACTAGGACGACATAAAAGCAATATAGAGTGACCATTGCGGCAGATTCCCACGCATGGAGGCGGCCATCTGCTAACAATAACATGCTGAAGCTCACAGCCACGATGAAATACCCGACATCACGAACAAAGCTTCTTCGAGCAACTTTGAACGGGCGGACCAGCGCCATAGACCCTGCAACGACCGACGTGATAAAGCTCGCAGCTCCAAGCAGCTCCCCAATGGCCAAGCTACCGCTGTTAGATTTCATGGCGGCGAAGGTAGAAAAGACATCCGGACTTCCGTTTCCAAACGCAAGAAACGTGACCCCGGCCAAGCTTTCGCTCAAACCAAGTGCACCGGCTAAAGTGCTCAAGTCGATACATAGGAAATCACTGGCGGCAATCCCGATCGTGCTAAACAGTAGTGAAAGCCATAGGATAAGGATGGTGAATGCGACTGGCTTGGCACCTGCGAGAGAGCAATAGTAGAATTGGAGATACGAAAACAGGCCATCTTCATGGTCAGGGCAATTCGTGCGAACATAAGAGCACTTGTCGTGTGCTTTACGAACCATGCGGCACTGGAACAGAAAATAAACGTCTTAGCAAGTCATCCCCATGAATTCTTATGGATAATGAAAGCAACTATTTGTGATACCTCTAGATCAGCGCCTCTCTTGAAGATACCCTGCCTGTCGGAACCCCCTCCTGGCAGAAAACGTTTGACAGGAAACGTAATCCCTTCATCTTCATATGATCCAAGAGTCCAGCTAAGAACTGCCAAGGTCGTGATCACCATGAGAGTCCAGTAGAAAGGTCGAACAGAATAACGCCGACCTGATGGGCGGCTCAAGACTGGATAGAGTATTTCAGACATAGTGTAAGACACGACAGCATCATGGGCAGGGACGTGAAAAGTTGCAGCTTGGCAGAAAGACAAGGTAGTGGTTTAGAACGTCGAAATCTCGGCGATGGTTAACATGGCCGCAAGGGGGACGGACGTGCATATGGTTATGTAGCTATCAGTGATTGAATTAGTGTAGATTGAAGAGGGGACTCCACGCGGCAAGTCACCAGCACTCATTGATGTCAGCCTTGAGCTTAGGCGGAGAAAGTGGCTCGCAGGTGGCCGCTTCTTGAATTTTGGTTGAGGCTAGGCACCTTATCAAGCCTACCTACGTAATACTACAAGGAGTTGACAGTAGTCGGGTGGGTGTGAAAAAGGAACGACAAAGGCACCACAATAAAGCGAGAGTATAATTATATTGAAAGAAAGCCAAGTACAACAAGATTGAAAAGAAAAGAAAAGAAAAGAAAAGCACCACTCGAACTGTTATCGCTATCACGTGCATTTCAAGGCAGTGATGACATATCATGTGACCTGACCATCCGCCTAAAGAAGCTAGACAAGGACCTGCACTCATGGTTGCTCTGGTATGGTGTATGTTTTTGTTGACTCTTGTTTGGTCTCTGTCAGCCAAAGAGGGAAACACCGCTGTATTTAGCACATCGCGACAGGATTCGGTACGCCACAGCTAATCGTCTGCAGAGAATGAGTATCTTAATCTGTGGCTGCTGTATTGTCACTTAATTTTCTTTTCTTACTTTCACTCTTCTTACCGCCATCTTCTGTGATCCATTGGATATTATCCCTGTACTCCTGAGAGGTCTCACAATGCCCCGCGTAGCGAATCCTAAGCACCGCCGCTCTGGTGGTGGTGCTTCTACCCCCCATAAGAACTCACCTATTAAGTGCGTTTGGAAAGCCTGATCTGTCTATACTACTTTACGAACAATGGAAGCTGATAAACTAAGAATCCCGCTTAACGATGACATGGGCGAAAAGGCGGCTCGTATGGAAGCCCGGCAGGCTCGTCATGACCGCCAGATGGACCAGATCAAAGCCGCTGTCAAGACGCCTATGCCTCCTCGAAGATACACTGGCCATGAGCGTGGATCCAGTATGAGCCCGGTCACACCGCGTGGATCGGGACACAGAGGCCGCGAGAGCGATGTCGACGGTCGGAGAGCGGTAACCCCGATGAAGCGTGTACCTATCTTAGCCAACTTTGAGGAATGGATGAAGATGGCGACTGACAACAAGATCAACGCAAATAATTCATGGAATTTTGCCCTTATTGACTACTTCCATGACATGTCCTTGCTAAAGGAGGGCGATGGTGTGAACTTTCAAAAAGCTAGCTGTACGCTCGATGGGTGCGTCAAAATTTATACGAGCAGAGTCGACAGTGTTGCGACGGAGACCGGCAAACTTCTGAGTGGCTTGGCCGATAGTCGCGATAGAAAGCCCCATGAGACAGGTGTAGATGATGGTGCCGAGGATGAGGACGAAGGAGAGGAAGGTATGGGACGAAAGTCCCGGCGGAAGGTATAACAGTTCATGCGATCCAGTCAAGTGGTACAAAATAACTAACATATCCCTTGAAGGCGCAACGATCTCATGAGGCTACACTTGCACCCTCATTTGCTTCACTCCAACTGAAGAAGTTCGAGCTTGAATTTTCTGTCGACCCACTATTCAAAAAGGCCTCAGCGGATTTTGACGAAGGCGGCGCGAAAGGCCTACTATTGAATCATTTGGCAATTGATGGGCAAGGGCGAATAGTTTTCGACAGCAGTGATGACGCCACAGAAGAGAGCTTGAAAGATGTAGATGATATGCGCCAAGGGTCAGAGGATCCTCACGCCCAGGATCTTCGTCGCCACCTCCAAGGCAATCGTCTGACGATATATTCGAAGATAACGTGGAGGTTGACATAACGTCCTTGGCGAACCAGTTTTTCCCAGATTTGGAACATCTTGAAATGCAGGATATCTGCCCATCGCTGAAAAACTTTGATCTTGGCGACCCGAGCGGGTCGTTGGATATACCATTTCTCAAGGCCCCCGAGGACTGGCGTAATGATAAAGGTCATGAGGAAGGACACAATCCGAATGACGCATCTGGAATCATGCTCGATGACGATAATGCTGTTGGCTTTGATGATGACGATGCAACGTTGGCGGGCTTTGATCTTGGTGGAGACACCGGATTCGGTGATGGTGGTGAAGCATGGGCTCGTGAAGCTGCTTTGGAGCCCATGCTTAAAGTTCACCGTGTAGATCGGGACAACGATGAGATTCAGGATGGTGAAGAGATAGACAATGACGATGCATATGCCATTTCTCTTACTCATCAGCCTAACAAGCAGGACCATGAAAATATCCTCAGCTACTTCGATAATGCCCTACAAAAGAACTGGGCAGGCCCCGAACACTGGAAAATTCGCAGGATCAAAGAGCATGCTGCGGCGAATACTGCTACCGCTGCCCCAAAGCAACGGAAGGAAAAAGAGCCCTTTGAAATTGACTTTTCTGCGCCTTTAGAATCGTCCGTTGCTGAGTTGTTGTATACCCCAGCAAGCTCCAACTCCACCATATCCTTGCCCAAAACACAATGGAAGACAAAGGGCCGTAATCTTCTTCCAGATGATAAACACTTCAATTCGCGACAGTTGCTTCGCCTCTTTCTCAAGCCCAAAGCCAGGATGGGCTCGAGAAGACTGGTGGGTACTCGGCAATTCAACCAACGCAGGGAAGACCGGACAGCAGGAAATGGAGAAATGGATGAAGCATTCTGGGCAAACCATAAGCCAGAGAATAATGCAGCTTCTGATGGAGAAGGTGCCCCCGGCGCATATGATGCAAATTTTTTCGCAGATGATGATGGTCTTGCGTTCCCCAACGGCCTTGGCTTGGGTGATGACGACGATGATAACCTACCCTTTGCGGATGCTAGAGAGATGCTCTCTCCACCATCCGATGGACAGCCAGGAAACCCAGTAGGGGACGCTGGGGGTGCTTCGGGGCTTACAGCGCTCCTGAACATGGTGGGCGCCACACCTGGTTCGGCGTTACAGAGCGGAGCTGGAGGATTCGGGTCACAACTAGTAACACAAGGTGGTCGGAGAGCACGCCCTGATTACGTTGCATATGCACGGGTGGCCAAGAAAGTTGATGTTCGACGACTTAAAGTGGAGATGTGGAAGGGTATGGGTGAACGCTTAATCGCATCAACAAGTTTCGATTCCTCCCAGGAAAGCCATCGAGAACAACCCACTGAGAATGAGATCGATGATCCTCCGACACCCACACCTGTGAACGAGATGCAGCAGGAAAATGGTCAACTCCGGTTTACGCAGATCATGAATTCACTCAAATCTGTCTACCCTCCAGAAACGTTACGTGACATCAGTACCTCGTTCGGGTTCATTTGTCTGCTTCATTTAGCCAATGAACAGGGTCTCATGCTGCAGAATGATGATGGTTCTAGTAGTCTTGGTGAAGGCAGGCTGGAAGACATCTTTGTCATAAAGGATGCCAATGCGGTTCTCGAAGAGGGGGCTATATGATGAGACTGACGTCTGTTTATATTAAATTTACACACAGTTTCTTGTTACAGATTTATAGGATGTTCATGAGGCACGAGGTATGGCTCAGGGTCAATGCTCGAGTTTATGTTACAAAGGAGTTGGGGCTCGTACTTTATACAGGGTGGTATTTGTGGTTTTTGCTCTATTTGAATAGTCTGATATTGATTTTTTTACACTGGTTAATCACAATCATGGAGGGAGCACATTCGCCGTTTGGTTCTTTTCCTTCCTATACTTCTCTGACTTTCTTGTATCTACTTTAGTTTGGTGAATGTCCTACTATACTACTTTTGTTGGGCCTATGCTTCTGTACAACCTTCGGGATATACGGACAAAGCAGGAGTCTCCTAATATCCTAGTACACTCGTTTAACAGGTATCACAATATTGCTCCTTTGATTCATATCAATGTGGAGGATAGACGCACATAGTACGCTAGCTATAGAGTGGCAGATGAACACGTACTATTTCGTTGAATGAGAGAATATACGAAAGCAGTCGGAACTTTCGAAAAAAGAAAGAGAGAGAAAAAACCAATACCACGCAGCCATCTGAAACAAGGGAACGGGGGATAAGATTATCATCGAGAATAAATACAATGCGTCAGTCTCCGCATTTCACGGCTTCGTGCGCAGGCGCATATGCACATTTCAACCATTGATTAGTGCTATTTAAATGTGGAAATCATTTATGGGAGGCATGAGGGAACGTGGGCGACATTGGACTTGAATACGCCATTGGAATAGGCACAGCATCGTAGGTCCGTTCGCCAGGCGCAGCAGTCATGTGTTGGTTGACATTTGATGCCGGCCCAAGAGTCGTGGGAACGGAACTAGGGCCAAAGAACTCCCTCTGTTCTGTCTTAGGAGTCGCTTGTTGTACACGGATTGGAGGTGCTTGCAACTGGAAGGTCGGCTGGGGTTTTGTTGGAGAACGGGGGGTGGCAAACTGGGTAGAGCATGATTCGCCGTTCTCGGCCATTGAATAGGGATCTTGTGGAACAGCTGTAGATATTATAGGCGTCTTTTGGGCGAGCGGAAATCCAGGTGTATTGGGCGCTGACTGAAGGCGGAGCTGGGCAAGGTACAGATCAGATCTAGCCTTGTCACGACGGTCCATTGACTTCATAAGGCGCCTCTTGGTCCAGAACCGATAGAACACAACCGCATAGATAAGGATGACCAGAACCTCGAGGACAACTTCAATAATAGCGCATACCAAGCCCCAGTCCTATAACATCAGTAATGGCACTAGAGAAATACTAAAAGCCAGCAACTGGCAAGACTCACCTGCAACCGACAAAGGAGGGCATAGTCAATATCGTTGTGAAATAATGTTTCCCTTGTGTTCTTCTTACAGGACCAACCCCAAAGGTCCTGGCTGTTTCCATTGGCTTTTTCATTCTGGTAAAGTGCCGCTGCGACAATCCACATGACAAGGCTGAACATGAAGAAGCACACTGCAATTGTTTGATAGTAAACAGTGAGCTTTTCGGCACGCTTGTGGCCGCCCTTCCAATAGCCCCAAAATACGATAAGGCAAGCAAACAACGAGACGCATGCCACGGAAAGGAGTAAATATTGAGTCCACGGATTGGTGCCATTGGCCCAGGCAGGGAACCCCCCCCTAGAAGGCAGTGATTTAGTGGAATGGAAGACGAACAGAGTCAATGCTAAGATTGTGACCACTATCAGACTGCAGCCAAAATTCACGAAACGCAAGAACATCTTAGCCACCCGGACGCGGAGTTTGATTCGCTAGAATCGAATTAGTATGAGCACTTAGGTAGAAGACTGTTTCACCTCCACTCCACTCACCAGATCTCTAGCATTCTCCTTCTCTGCAGACTTCTCTTCCTTCTCTACATAAAACTCTTCACGAAAAGTTGGGCTGAGTGGATTTAGTGTGCGCCCAGGTGTTCCGGGGACCTTTAGAGCACTTTTGAGCGGTGAAGCTGGCAGCTGGTGATGGGATGCATGCTGCACTGGATCATTGGCAGCAACATATCCAAAGCCAACGTCGGACACATCAGGGGGTGTCCGGGACTGACCGGGAGGGTCTGCGAAGGGTGACCGCCCGGTGTCAGCAGGGCCAGTGGGGGATTGCACCGTCGTTGCTTCCACAAAGCGAGCCGTCCGAGGGCTTTTTATTGACGTGGCCGTAGTGTCCGAAGAGCTTCGCTCCTCTACAATCGGTTGTTGTGTAGGTGCCATTGAATGAGAGCCGCGCCCGCGAATTATATATTTGTCTGAGTCACTCCGTAATTCAAAGGTTGGTTTGTCTGGCTGTCATTCGACACAAGCGTCGACAAACAGTATGTAGAACGAAGCTTGCTAGTAAGCTAACTGATACAAGCTCAGGTGTGCAGAGAGCCAGCTCTCGTAGCCCCTTCTCTTCCAGTATTTTGCAGTAGTAAGCAGCGAAAGAAGGACGCTCAGAAGGACAGCTCCAAGTACTCTGGGGGAGACGAGAGTTAGTGTTGAATACTCAGTTATAGTAAAGGACGAAACAGCTTTATGGTCGGTGTTCATGATGCAGGGGAGGGAAACACTATTAGGAGGTTGTACCCTACTGAAAAAATCGAGCAATGATTCGACTGTGTCTCACAGTATCGATCTTGAGGGGCTTGGTCAGTTGTATATTGTGTGATTCGAATGGTACGACAATAGCTTACCGATTTTATATCCTGAGGAGTTTTACCAATCGACTTTCCTGCTGACGATCTGCTTGAGCAAAGCATGCGAAGCCAGCGCTACTTGGGCCAAACAAGATCCAGAGGTATGAGATGTTGAGGGTAGGAAAAGAAACTGATCAAGTCAATTGCGCGAGGCATTACCCATTTGAATGCTACTGATGGGCTTTGGGCTGGCCGCTGGTCTACCAGCGGGGGGTGGGGAAAGGACCATGTTGAATGGAATCACATCTGCCGTGTGAATAGAGTACTAAGCGCCCGGAATTTGTCGAGCAAGCCATGTTGGAAAGGTGATTGGGGGAGAGTCAAAGTAGCACAGAGAGCAAGGAGGAGGGAGACAAAGCCGAGCAATACAATGAGTGGATGGCGATCTCATCACTCGAGCATAACCGCCCAGCTTATCACAGTGGGGGGGTTGAAGAGATGACTCCAGTCAACTCACAGAAGTGGATTCATGCAGGCGTGGTCACCCGTGAAGCGAATGAGCATCACCTGTTAGCGTCTTATTCTGGCGCCAATGCTGATCGTCTCTCCAGCTCAGCAACCAGGAGTCCTACAGAACCGCTGGGATCAGGTCTGCATATGTCAGTTTCTCTTCTCTGAGTCCTCTTCTTCTTCTTCTTCTTAATGGTTTTTACTTTTAATTTGTTTTTACTTTGGCTGCGGCGGAGGGGGAACACCTAAATGTTGGACTAATTTAAGCGCCTATACTGCGTAGAACAATGGCAGAGCGCCTTCGCCTTCGCGCTCCGCAATAACAGTCTCACAATCACCATTAGTATAATTCAATGGGTATAATAGCCAGAACTGATCTTCTGGATATTATATCATAATAATGATGACAATGATACCACTTGCTTGCATGGATATCTTACTTGAAATGGATTATGGAAGGTGTCTGTTGATGTTTCAAATAACCCTGAAGAATTCATTGCCCCCGCCCGAGGGTACAAATACCTGGATGGAATCATTGGAGTCCAATGCTGAGAGTGATAAAAGCAAAGGGTTATCTTGTGTTGCTTCGTCTCAACGCTTTCCATCCCGTAGTTACAGCCAGGATCCTCCCCTCGTTGTAGGTCTTGTACATGCTTACCATGGCCCATTATGTCCGCCGTCATAGTAGCAGAGGCAATAAGAGACGTTTGCCCCATGTATGACCTTGTAAGCGAACTTCATGGGATTATCAGTTCTATATCCACTGCGGCAACAACCAGCAATGGCGCTGAGTTCTGTCCTTTCCAGTGGAATGCGGAGTTCTCTATCAATAGTGACCCAACCCAGGGAAATTCCAGGAGTAGTCTCTCTCCGCCGCACTGTAGTCCTGCCCGAGGACTTCAAGCATCAGTGATGCAACAGACACGAGGCCAATGACACTGTTTTGAGCGCCAGGGCCTTGTGCTATTCACTGAGGTCATGCCACCGATATCTGACTGTTTGAAAGGCAGTGTGCTATTTGTCGAGGCAGCTTGCGCTCTCGGTCAGAATGATAACATAACTAAAAGGAGCTCAACTTTACTGGAGACTCACACTATCAAGTTAGATCATGCTTCTACCAAGGCTACGCAATCTTGAACAGGTCCAAAAGGCTAGGTAGGAGGACACAAGAATTTTTGTTATCATGGGAGAAAGTACAGATAGGAGTTGAAAACGCTGGTTTTTTGCAAGGATGGAGTTCCTATTGAATGCAAGTGAGTGAATATCGATATGTTCTCTATGCCGACGTCAATCAGCTGCTTGCGACTCTACGCCGTCTCTCTTATATACTATCTGTTCCGCCTTGACATTTCAGGGGAACAAAGCATAGCCATCATAATACAGTTTCATCTCGCCCTGACGAGAGGTTGACTACTACCGCCTAGCGAATACCGCGCTCACCTAGGAAGCCTAGACCACACCATTGACAGTTCAGTTTGAGATGAACATGAATATCACAATTCATACAATAGATAATTATAGTGGTTCTCTTCTAGCTAGCGGTGTTTATTGCACAGGACCCACTCCGCAATATAGACCGAAAAAAAAATTTAAGTAAACAGAGGTTTTGGAATTAGCAGTGCTGTCGTTATACCTAGTAGTACTGATCATGTCGAGTCACAGGACCAATTGGTTTTTCTGAGAAAAGCTTGAGGTGATATATGACAATTTCAAGGATTTACAGTAGAGCCAAGCTAGAGGCCAAATGATTCTCGCTTCGAGCTTTAACAGTGTTTTCGTCCACTATCAGGGTCTGGCAGTCAAGCTGCAATTAATACGCAGTTGGGTCCATCAATGAAGCTGGGGATTACCATTGTCCCTAGGTTGAGCTGGAGCTGTCGCATTTGGAGTCTCTCCACAATATAATGTAAAGGTAGAGTGTTTTAGTATGCATATATTTACGCCACATGTGATTTCGGAGTACGCCGAAGCATGGGGTACACCCCCTTAAGGCTTAAGCATGTTATTAGTAGTAGGCACATAATCTAGTAGTCTGCAGATCCTGAGTGGTGGGGGGGCTTTTAATAGAAATCAGAGCCAAAAGAAGAAGAAGAAGAGAAAGATAGAAATTGAAGTTGGAATTGGACATAGAATGAAAGGACCTCAAAAGATACACACCACATGGCAGGCACACAAGTACTAGTTACTAGTAATTAACTAGTACTAACGCAAACCGATAAGGGGCAATTTAGTTTTGATATATAGAGACGGGTACGCCCATATTGAATTGTAATTCTGAAAAGCTTCCAAATCAGATCTCCGGGTCATCGGCTACTGTTTAAAAAAGAAAGAAAGAAAGAAAAAACCCCAGCTGGGAAAAAAGTTCAAATCCTATGGATCAGTGTCTACAGGATGGATCCTTGATGGAGCGGACCATGATTCCTACCAATCAGGGCCCCTGGTGCGAGGGATCGACCAGTGGTTCTTTACCTACAGATTCAATGTGACCCCTCTGGCCACGGCAGCAACAGGCGCCTGAGAGGCTGCAGGGATCCATAGCGTACCGGTCCAATCAGCGGTATTTTGAGCCGTGTCAGGCAGGCGGTGGGAGTGTACAGCCACCCAAGGGTTCCCACAATATTCTAGAAAACTGACTGTGAGTGGCCAAAACCGTCAGCTTCTCCGCGTCTGTGGCCAGCCACAATGATGAGGGTTTCAGGCTTTCAGCATGACAAAACATAGCCTCACTCCCTCATTTAACTCTGAAGGGACGGAAGATTAATGAGACTTTGGACTGATTGAAAGTTCTATGGTGTCCCTTTTCTTGGAGGTAAATAGTTTAAGCAGATAAACTACGCATCCTTAATGTATGAATGTATGTATGTACATACATCGGTAGATTAGTTAGTCATTTTAGACACATATCCGGAGGTCCCATACCTTATCCTCGGGTCAGTTTCTATGGCTGTGCTCCTTCGGTCGTGGCCTGCCCTCCTTTGTGTCTACTTTATGTGGACAGAGCTTTTCAAAAATCGAAACTCAATCCGAATGAATAACCCAGCACTGTCACCAGTCCTCAAGTACTAGGGTAGTTAGTACTAGTACTGGTATGCGTTGCACCATGCGCCTCAAAGTACGCTATTAGTACTACTCCACATCTAAGCTAATACCCAAATTACGGTAATATGACGGATGTATCGCGATTAATTACGCACCGAGCAGTTCGATCTGATCGGACTTCTTCAATAGATCTGTAATCCGTATGCCATGCCGAGGGACATTCCGACAAAATAATCAATGCTGCGCCTCTTTTGGTGCCTGGCGACCCATCCCCAAGTATTGAGAGGTTACGGTATCTTACAAGGATGACGCCGGGCCATGTATAATCCCGGTATGTCGCCCACTATTCCGCCAGGCAGAGCCGCCTCGAGCCTGGTCACAAGTCGTCAGGCCCAATGCTCTCTCCAGCCACTTGCCTTACCTCGTGTCTGCTCTCAACTTTGATTTTGCTTCCTTCGCACTTCCACTCTTTCTCTTTTGGCTCATTTCCCCTCATCTGGTCTTTTTCTTTTTCTTTTTTTCGTTTTTAAAATTTGCTATCTTTATTATCGTTACTAATTTTTTTTTTTTTTTTTTTGTTTTTTTTGGCTTTCCAAACACCTTTCCTAGGCAGAGCCACGGCCTCCGCTTTCCAGGCACCTTTTGACCCAAACAGATTTCGAGACCGCAACTAAGCCAGCAACTGCATCATCTCCTGGATCCATCCATTCTGCCACAGCCTTTATCAGGTTTATTCATGCCTTCTAACCCACCAACTTTTCTTCCTAACAACCGGGTCTTGTAATTATCCTTTTCCTAGTTTGTGTTGGTCTCTCCACTGCATGCCTCTTGTAAGCCGTTTCTTTTTCTTTTTTATTTTATTTTTTATTATTTTAAGTGATCCTTATTTTTTCCTTTTCCTTGAAGGCTGAGGCTTGGTCAACCTAAGTCTCCATCCAACCACCCGCTCGTTCCCTCACCTTGTATCTTCCTCTGGTTTGCTCCCTTGACATCTTCGGCTCTTCCACACCCCTTGCCTTCTATCAATCACCCGTGATCCATCCAGTTCGACAGTATATTGACGCCTTGTCAATGATCTAGATCTGCATGGTTCTCCTTTCCATCGTTTCCCCGACAATCGCTAGTTCCAGCTTCCTCTGCAGCCTAATTTGACATCTCCCATTCCGCCGTGCTCCCATCTCGATTCCTCCAGATGGGTTAATCTCAACTAGCTTCGTATTGATCAAGCAGACAATAGAATCCAGCATTCTCATTCTGCTTGCAAGGCTGATCGCTATTTTTATCTTACTGCTGCAAGGCCCATCTTGTTCCCGTGGGACCTAACTCTCTAACGAAACATCGCTAAAGCTGAACCCCCCGTCAGCTTGCGCCACAATCGGATCCAGGTGAGCGCCCCACGCGACAGTGCCTCTGATGGCTCTCACTTGCTTTCCTGTCTTGCTTGGCTCCTTGGGTCCTCTTGAATGCGTCAAAAGCCTTTTATTTCACCTACTGTCCTGCATATCTGACTCCCACCTTGCAACTGTTTCGCAACTCTCAACATTGGTTTGCTGACATGAGTTCCGCCGAAGTAGCTTCCCCGTTCTTTCGCCAACCATTCCAGGCTGGCGTGAAGCACTCGTTATCCATGGCTGCGTTGATGCAATCAAATAACGAACCTGTTACCGTCCCTAATCCATTGTCCGGACCCTCCGCCTCCATCATTTCAAGCTCGCCAGAATCTGCCGCCTCCCTGAAGCATACGAAACCAGACTCGAGTCTTACCTCCATTGCCAGTGCTGGCTTGAACGTCTCACGGTCAAGAGACTCGTTGCCACCCATGACAACGCCTACACAGCCAGTCGGTCCGGTGGATCGACTAGTAGAACATGAGAAGGAGCCTGAGCAAAACAGCTCACAGGTCGCAAGAGAAGCTCTCGGTGCAACCGAGAAGCAACAGATGAATTCGATTAATGACTCCGTACATATGTCCGATCAGATGCAGGTCGATGCGCATTCGACTTCAGGTAATGCGGCGGATGCCTTTGGAACGGTCGATAACAGCACGTCCCTGATGAATACGTCTACAGTCGCCAGTCCGGGCCCGATAGAAGATTCGGCATCACAGGATGGGGATCGACCACGTCATAGGGACGAAATGGACTTGCAGGATGCAAGTAACAAGTCCTTCTCTTACCCCATGCCGACGGCGGGTCTTGGTGATCCCCGTCGTGGCCTGAGCTTACCAGGTTCTGGATTTAATAAGGCCGGCCAGCGATCGCCATCGGCTAAAAAACACCGTTGCCCATACTGTTCTACGGAATTCACGAGGCATCATAACCTCAAAAGCCACCTTCTTACCCATAGCCAAGAGAAACCGTACGTGTGCCAGACTTGCCAATCACGCTTCCGAAGACTTCACGATTTGAAAAGACACACGAAACTCCACACCGGAGAGCGTCCACACATCTGTCCCAAATGTGGGCGTCGGTTTGCTCGTGGTGACGCTCTCGCTCGACATAACAAAGGGCAAGGCGGATGCGCCGGTCGTCGGGCGAGCATGGGAAGTTATGCTCCTGAAGATGAATATGGCGACGCTGGGGGCCATCCAGGTGCGGAGGATACGATGGATGGCCTCGTTTATGCAGAGCCCGAGCGCATGGATGAAGAGGATGAACGCCGAATGAGCATGCCCAGCATTAAAAAACATGATATTACCACAGATTCGATCACGCGATCCAATACCGCAAATAGTTATCAGCCGCGGCAGCCGAGCACATATCCCCCAATTGCGGCTGGCAGGCCATCTCCAGGGGGCCTTTTCCCTCCGCCTGCGAGTCACGGCGGCTCCAGCGCCTCAGCATCCCCCATCTCGCAACCTGGTAACTTGACATTTCCACCTCCTGGTCAGCATTCCGGAGCCTCAATATTCCAACCATCAAATGTCACCGACAGCCCAAAGCCACTTTCACCCAATGCACTACCTTCACATCAGCTCGGCCATGGCCCTGAACTTCATCGCGCTCACTCTCCAGGCATGGCGCAGTCATTCCAGCAACAACCATATACCAGGTCGGGGTCCTCTCAGGCATCTGTTGCAAATCATACCGCTGGTAGTTTAGGCCTTCCCCCGCCACAACCTGGCGCCCCTCAGCTTCCTCCGCCACCTGGATTGAACACCTCAGATTCTCGCTTTGCAATTCACTCTCAGAGCTCTGTGCAACCAGCACCGGCCGCTACGAAACATACCCCACCCCACAGCCTTTCTAGCAACCATAATGGACCTCTGACATCCAAAACAGGCCCGGAGGTGACGGCAAATAATAATGGGCATCTTCCGGGACCACATGACTCGAATTATGCTGATCAGAATCGTGAACGAGAGGATAAGCTCTGGGCATATATTCGTTCTGTTCACGAAGAACTAACAGGACTGAAGACCGAAGTAGCGGCTTTAAGGGCACAGCTTGCATCAGCAAACGTAAATGCGCTGACATCATCGGCACCAAATGCTACACAACCTCAGGTTGAGCCGAGCACTGTCAGTGCAGGCCAACGGTGATCGCAAGCCGTATTCCGCTCATACTCACCTCTTTTCAGCCTTCCATCTACTACCGTAGGCATCCGGTTGATGATGACGACTGCTGGTTATCTTCCTGACATATAACTGGACTATTTCCCGAAGAATCTCAATACCCTTCACATGTCCTATTGCATGTAGCCCTATTTTTTCATGATTCCTTGTCGTCAGTGTTTCCACTTTTCTTTTGTTGACACCTTAATGCCTTGATGAGACAATATCTAAATTCAACGAAAGACCTGTTGCGAGGCTGGTCCAATTTTCTTTTGTGATCCTCCCACTCCCAGTCCCTAATCTTCCTTCTTATTCGTGTTTTTACTACACTCTTCTTTCCCTTGGCGTCACCTTTTCAACTCGATACGTTCACTCTTTCAGGATTGGGGTATGGAGGTGTTTCACGTACAGTTCCTCCCCACCCTAGTCTTGTTTCCTTGCCAATAATCCTATGATAATTACTCACCCCCGCATTGCCCCACATCTTGTATGGAATCAGCATATCATACTTCTCTTTTTGAATTCACAGATCTTAGGAGCAGGGAGTATGATGGTGGCAAAATGTGTTACTATAACTCAATTCTGGCAGCGTATACACTTGGCATGGTCAATTTCTTCTCTATTGATAGTAGGACAAGGGTCAATTACTGCCTCCTCCCCAGCAAGAATTCGGCTCCGTAGCAATCCTCTACTGTGTAGTATTAAGGTCTCCCATTGCCATAACGTACCGCGTAGCGTTTATGTGTATTCAAGCTCTTTGGTTACACTGAGATATCCTCTGGACCGTCCAGCCGATGAACAGCCCCACGTTGGTCACTATGGCTTTGGGGACTCCGCCCAATGTCGAGCTCCGCTGTATCCACTAGGGGGTTGCCCCGCCGACGTTCGATATAGTGGCCATAGTCCATTCCACCTAGTCAGACAGAACCACGACTTGTGCCACACTGGTATATGATGCAGATACGCCAGACATGTTATATAGGGGGTAGATTAGGGGTGGGCAGAGAAGTAGAGGCATCGTACTGGAATCATGTCATACATGCTGATGTTACAGTAGTTCAAATTGCCCGTATCCAATATTGCTCCTCGTCAGGCTGGATATATATATGTTGCATATATGGTCAGACTATACGCCTCTCCGTATGAAGGTCTAACTGGGCGTTACGGCCCAATCGCACCCTTACCGTGGGGTATATCTCGCTCTATATTAGTCGTATCCAAACAGGCGGTCAATCATAGACTCCGTACCCCTGGACCAACACTACCGGTATCGAAGATCTCGATCAACCCAGCTCCGAGGGCCTCTTCTAGAACCCAGCGAAAGTTCATTCCGCATAATTCTTTCCATTTCTTCGTTCTACCTGGCAAGATACCCGCGTGTTCGCCTCTTATTCTCTTCGCCGCGCTGAAACCTTTATCTGTTTCGACTGCCCCATCCCAGCGATCCCGGAGAAGATGAAGGGGCACCTCGCCAGAGTTTGACTTTCTAATAAGTGAGAGGAGATGCGCTCTGCCAGCGCCTAGAAGCCGAAGATAAGGCCCTGTGTTTGGGAGAGATAGGAACAAAGCTGTTGTATGACATCGAGAGCGCTCGCTACCTTCTTTGTCATCCAGTGTAGCGGTATCACCCCGACTAGCCGAGTTCCCGGATGAAGGCGGCGGTGGGAAGGTCGGAAGCGATATTACGCCCGGAGATCCCTTGACCGAAGACGGGGAGGAGACCAGAAAGCCAGCACCAACAAGCGTCATGCACTCCGGGGCAGAAAACAAAGTATCAGGGACAGCGAAAGAGGCGCCGAGTCGACTGAGAACGTCCAGAAACTTATCTAATAATAAAAATTAGCAATCGGAAACCCAAGTCTCACAGAGGCAAGCGACACCTTTAAGATGGGACTCTATAGGACTGTCTCGCACAAGCTGTTCCCAATCCTCCGAGAGAACTAAGCAATCCCCTAACCCAGCCGCATCATTTCCTCTGCCCGGAACAATTAATCGACGGATTCGGCCAGAATTTACATAGCCCATTATCTCTCTCTCCACCTTCGTTGGTGCATCCAGTAATGTATGGATGTGGGCCACTGAGGCGAGTGGTGGCAGCGACCGACGAAGATTCAATAACTCAGCGACACGGGTGCTGTTCATGCCTGTTCGAGTGGGAAGGGCCTCGAAAAAACTATCCTTGATGTGGCATATGGCTTGAATAACATCCTCTACCGGAGCAGTCTCTGGGATGTATCGTGACATTCCAATATCCGGAAGTGGCCCTGGGCCATACTCTTCCTGAAATCCGCCACTGCGGTCATTGGATTTGACATCGTTGGATGACTGTGTGATACTAGTAGCTTTGCGACGAGCATGACCGGCAAATGGAGAAGAGCGAAGCGCTGTGTTGGATGATTTCCTTCTTTTCTTGACACCAGAAACAGGAGCAGAGGTGATGCGCAAGGGCATGGTCGAGAACGGGAGAGGAACTCCGACCTCCCATCGGCGGAAGAGATGCCGCTTATGAAACATACAGTACAGTTCGTAGTAAAGCACTTATCTGATAAGAAGCTGTACCATCACGTGATCTGCCCCTCACCTTGGTAGATCCCGCCAATGAAAACAACCAACCCATGGCTATACAGAAAGTCTGTTAACATAGTACCAATCGCGGTGGTGGTGGTATGATGTATGATATTGTAGACCAAGCTGCCTAGGCAAAAATCTTGGCCAAGTATAAGGAACTTGGGCTGCCTCCGAGTTTGATGGGATTCCAGCCGGCCGACAATTCTCTCGGTGGGACTGTAGCAACAAGTTGTTGAGCAGGGTCTCTCTTCACATGACGTAGTGATGAGGGAGGATTTGTGCCTCAGGTCCAACCATCATCATCTTTAAAATCCTCCACCACGCTCCCGCATCCAACATCAACAGGCTGTTCTTCGCCTGGGCTTGGTCGCGCCATTTCTTTCGGTCTAAGAAAGACACTCCATGTCACTGTAGTCTAAATTTCCCGTCGACCTTTCAATTGCCGCCTCTTTCTCCCCTCTTCTCCCCGTTTTTGTTTTCTGTTGCTGGGCGCATTCGGAAGGTGCCACAATGACGATCTATATCGCTTCGCTGTATGTGGATTACCTGTTCTTCGCCTTTATGCTCTTTCGATGTGCTGCTGATACGCTTAACTGACAATGATTCAGGTTTCTGCCATACACCGTTAACTTCCACCTCGATGAGTCGAAAGATCGTCCAGTCCATACAGGCCCTGACCCGTCGAAGCCAGGCGCGGAGGCCTCAGCTTCAACAGCCAATGCAGCCGTCAGCTTATTTGAGAAACAGAACCGCGACCAGAAAGTCGGTCTCACACCCGGCGCCACCACCGAATATGAGCGGATCTTTTCATCAGATCTCGCAAAGGCGGAACAAGAGCATTCCGGATATCCATTCCCGGATATAACTGAAGATGGAGGTCTTCTGACCGAAAGTGAAGCACACTCTCCTGCATGGGGTTCAACGTTATCTTTGAACCAGCCGCGGCCACGAGCAACTATTCCGCCATCCCCATCCATCCTTAAGCACCAGGAGCCTGTTGCTCCCACGACAGAGCCTTCTCCCAAGAGATCCGATAAGGAACAGAAACCACTCTACACTCAACGCCATAGTGGGGCTCACCACAGCAGGGAACCCAGTCGTAAGGGTTCCTTCTCCAGTGCTGAATGGACAATCGAGACGGCAGAGCAGGGCAATGGGGGGCTTCGCAACGCTGTTCGGTCTGCGACAGATGCAGGACAGTTAGAAGACAAGGTCTGGGTCGGTACGCTGGGAATGCCGACAGATGCCTTGTCTAAGTACACCAAGTCTGCGATTGCTGAAAAGCTTGAGGATGAGTACGACTCGTTGACTGTATATGTTAGCGACGGCGATTTTGATGGCCATTATACTCACTTCTGCAAAACGATACTCTGGCCTGTGTTCCACTACCAGATTCCTGACAACCCGAAAAGCAAGGCATATGAGGATCACTCCTGGGTCTACTATGTTAAGACCAACCAAGCATTCGCAGAGCGAATCGCTCGAAACTGGAAGCGCGGAGATTCAATATGGATCCAGGACTATCACCTGTTGCTGGTTCCGGCTATGCTTCGTAAACTGCTACCGGACGCCCAAATTGGCTTTTTTTTACACATTGCTTTCCCATCTTCGGAAGTTTTCCGTTGCTTAGCCCCTCGTAAAGAACTCCTCGAAGGCATACTAGGTGCAAATCTTGTTGGCTTCCAGACAGAGGAGTACTGCCGACACTTTCTTCAGACGTGTAGCCGTATTCTCTGCGTTGAGGCCACGAATGAGGGAGTGCAGCTCGAAGATCGGTTTGTCAACGTGAATAAATTCCCAATCGGGATCGACCCGACTTCATGGGACAAGAGACGTAAGGCCACTGACGTTGAGCAATGGGTCAAAACCATCTCCGAAAGATACGAAGGGAAGCGATTGATCGTTTCACGCGACAAGATTGATGGAGTCAGGGGAATACGGCAAAAGCTCCTTAGCTATGAGCTATTCCTCAATACATACCCTGAATGGAGGGACCAGGTATGTGGCTTATTGTACAATCGTCCTATAATCATATCTGCAGGGACGTACTGACCATCTATGTGTAGGTGGTGTTGATCCAAGTTGCAACTAGCACAACAGAACAACCCGAGCTTGAAGCTACAATTTCTGATATAGCTATGCGAATCAACTCTACATTCTCAACCCTAGCTCATCAACCGCTCGTTTTCCTCAAACAAGATCTCGCTTTCCCGCAGTATCTCGCCCTGATCTCCGTTGCAGATGCTTTGATGATCACCAGTCTACGTGAGGGAATGAACCTGACGAGTCACGAATTCGTTTACTGTCAAGATGGAAAATATGGCAACAAGAAGTATGGTTCTCTGATACTGAGCGAATTCACGGGAAGTGCATCGGTTTTCGGGAATCATGCCCTTTTAGTCAACCCTTGGAATTATCGGCAATGTGCGGAGGCGATTCACACAGCTCTGTCGAGGAGCGAGGAGGAACGCAAGCAAGTGTGGACTCGGTTACACAGTGCAGTTCTTCAAAACTCCACTGCCAACTGGGTCAAATCCTTCAGCGAGACTCTGAATCGTGTCTGGAATGAGCAGTCGTCGCGTGAGATCATGGCCGTTCCACGGTTGTCCGTCAGCAAACTCGAAGAGGCTTATCGCAGGTCCAATCGTCGGCTTATCATTGTGGATTATGAGGGTACCCTGGCCTCTTGGGGCTCTCCAAAAAGCATCATTGTCACTACACCGCAGCGAGCCATTACGACGCTGACGGAGCTAACTGAGGACTCGAGGAATATAGTATTTGTCATGAGCTCTAGGATGCCAGAGGAGATGGAGCGATTGTTCCGGATGGTGGCAGGCTTGGGCCTCATTGCAGAGAACGGATGCTTCGTGCGCGAGCCGAATACGGAGGAGTGGTTCAAGTTGACAAATAAAGCACAGACTGATGCTTGGAAGGAGGCCGTCCGCCAAATTCTCGGTTATTATCAAGAGCGGTCAGAAGGCAGTTGGATCGAACAACGTCACTGCTCTCTTATGCTCCACTATGGATCGGCTGAAGACCAAGCGGCTGCCTCTCGACTCGCTTCCGAGTGCGCAGACCATATCAATGACTCCTGTGCCAATCAAGGGGTCCATGCCGTGATGATGAATGGGGCGCTTGTGGTAGAGCCGGCTGACACGAATAAGGCGTCAGCCGCGGCCATGGTGTGGCGGCATTGCCTGGAACGAAGCAAGAGCGATCATAGCGGACGACCGGATTTCCTAATGGCCATTGGGGATGGTCGAGATGATGAGCCAGTTTTCCGATGGGCGAACAAACTTGAGAACGCCAAGGGAGTCGACTATGCCATGACGGTGACGTTGGGATCCCGTAGCACGGAAGCTAAAGCAACCCTAACTCAGGGAGTGACAGGTCTGTATAGCTACCAATTATTGAAGAAGATTGTTGTGCTAACTGCATCATTTTTAGGCGTCCTTTCTTGTCTGGAGAGACTAGCTGCATCTTCGCTAGAGCAGTAATTGGCTATTTAGGCGGGCCTATGGGTTTGTCAGTACAAACTCTACATATAATAGTCGCAAGCAATTTTTTAGGTGCATATGTTGAGATCGAGATGCCAACCGAAATCATAGGCAAAAGAGAGAGAAAAAGAAAAAGCGTGGTGTACTGATCACTGTGATGTAGTAGAACTCGAATGGGCCAGTTAGGTTGTTAATACAGATAAGCTAGAGCATTCAAAAATGGTATGCACTGTGCTTCTTTTGTAAAAAAAGGTCGCAGACTCTAGATACCTCGCTTTATGTTGACATCGCTCGATAGTAGTTGTTAGTTCGCAGTACACAGCGTTAGTCAGCCTTTAGGTTCAGGTACTGTCCATACATTTAATACATACATGCACGCCGTTTCGGTTGGACGTCAGGACATACCGAGGCTTTTGCGGAGAAGCCAGATGCTTAATTAAGCTCCAATGTTCCGTGGGCCAGGACACAATGCCCATTTGTACTATCTCAGTGATTGAACAATCCCCCTCAGTCCTCTTCTATCCTCGCTGCGCGATCAGATTTTCGAACTGTTTCAAACAACCGTAACCATGACTGCTCTTCCGGCGAACAGCCCAGCATTCGAGGAAGCCATTAAAGTGACGCCGCTTGAGTCCCATCGATATTCAGCGTTCCTACGTGATGAATGGTGCATCGGAACAGGTATGCTTCATCCCGATATGCTTCTTTGCGTTGGCTTGTTCTTTCGGAATTACGCCATGGGGAAATGGTGACTAACTGAGTAATTGCAGTCCCACACGGCGGATATACTACCGCTGTCATATACCGACTTGCTCTTACCCATTTCGCACATACACATCCGACACTATACGATGCACCGGCAACCCCGATATCTCTTCAGCTTTCGTTTCTGCGTCGCACAGCTGCTGGTCCAGCCATACTGACAGTGCAAGATATGAAACTGGGGGCACGCACAAGTACAATCCATATCAACCTATGCCAGCCGAGTGAGAAAAAAGCAAAGAATGGCGAACTCGAAGTCAAGGTCGCTGGCTACATCACTGTGAGTCCGCCTACCGCGGAAGTAGGCATCAGCTCCAACACCGGCTGGAGTCTACAGCCAGCTGCACAACCTGGAACAGGGCCAAATGGCAGCGTGAACCTGGCGGCGCTGGGCCAAACCGGACGCGATGGTAATTGGGTGCTTCTCCAGCCACCATATCCCAAGTTTCGCCGCGCAACCCTGCAGCTCGAGCTGTATGGGCCCGACCCGGCTTTGGGGAAGCGTAAAGTGATCGATCAATGGTCGCGATTTCGGCCGGGCGGAGATCGCGAGGCGCGGTGGACCAACGAGGCCGTGGCGTTTCTAGTGGATATGTTCCCGATGGCGCTTGGGGGGCTTGATCAAATGGCGTCGGCGTCCACACCGTCACAAGAGTTAGCGGAGAAAACCGCTCGGTTTTGGTACCCTACCGTTACTTTGAATATCGACTTTAAGAAGCGATTGCCTGCGCAGGGCGCGGAATGGCTATACAGCCGAATTCATACTAAAGTGGTGCGCGATGGCCGAACGGATCTGAATGTGGAGGTACTGGACGAGCAGGGTGATGTAGTGGCACTGAGCACGCAGGTGGGTTTAGTATTGAGTGCCAGCCGGAACCTAGGACAGCGGCAGACAAAGATGTAATTGGTCTGTTTTCATGGCAAGATACATGCATCCCTGATGTACATAGATAACTCTCTAGTGGTAGATCTAGATCTATATATACAGCAATCGTGGCCTCTAATACATACATACATAGCGATCGAGATTTGGAGTTGTTTACAGATTCGACGTGGTCTGTAGCCAAAAAGCCATGGCGTCAGTCGTGACGACCAACTGATCCGGGTTTTCCTCATCCGCTTGAAGGATCTGGGCGCGCACCCAAAACTTTCTCCCCACACGGCCGACCACTTTGGCGCGGATGATCAGCAATCCAGGAACCGTGACAGGTCTCTTGTACCGTACGTCCAATTGCGATGTGTATAATTTCCCACGAGGCGTTGCGTCCTCCGCGCTTCCCTGGTGATCGGAAGTGTCCAACTCAGGAGGCGGAGAGTACAGGGTTACCGCCAACGACATCGCCTCATCGATGCATGTTGCGATAATGCCACCATGAGCCGTCGACGGGTGGCCACTCACGCCCGGTGTCGCCAGATCCAGCAGCATGAGAATGTCTGGGGGCAAGGCAGATGGCTCTGACGAGACCGGATCATCGGTGGGGGAGGGCCACTGCGGACGGGCGGCGGAGAGCGAAGGAAGCCACCGACGACGGAGCGTAAGACAGTGAGGGATGGTGGTCGAAGTGGCTAAGGTACCAGCGAAATAGCCATCTTCGCCGGTGGAGGGTTTCGGAAGGCGTGACCAGGTGCGGATGGGATAGTATTCTGGGTGGTTGAGTAGACGGTTGGCGTGGGGATGGGAACGAAAGGGATCGAGCGATGCTTCTTCCGTGAAGGGAGCATTCATGATGGAGGGAGGTTTGGAATCGACCATTTTTTCTTTCTTTGTATGTTCATATGCTCGATTCATAATATTTCTGTTGCTCCTTTTCTTACTTCTTCTTTGTGAGGGTAAGTATGATATAAAGGGAAATGATACCACACCAGCAGGATGGACGGGAAGAAAGCAGAGTGATTGTTTCTTTGAGTGTTAGACATGAGGTTTCATTGTCTATACTCCGGTCGATTATCCTTTGGGATTACCTTCCTTCAACCTCGGCTACAAGTTCGGCGGCTCGATTGGCCCCCTCCACTGAGGGAACATGGACCGGGAAACTAAACCTCTTACTACTAGTACTTAAAGCTGGAGAGGTCAAGTCGGGGAAGATCGATTATTGGCCATGTGATAAAACCAATGAAAGAAAACGAGTTCATCCATAAGAGGTATGCAACCAATTATTAATAGGATTGACGTGGATCATGATCATGAATAAGAATTGCAAGGAATGAATGAATTGGGCAGAATTGGTCACTGGGAGAATTCCTTTTCATCAAAGCAAAACATACATACCAAACAACTGCTCCTCGTAGCTAAGTTCACATTTCCTGCAGGAGACTCGACAAATTCCACACCTCCATGTCCATATTTCAAACCTGCACTAGCGTGAAAACTGCCGCAACCGATGACCTCCATTGGGCTTAGTCCCCTACCTAGATCGATTTAACCCCTCCAATGGAAAGATGATCCTTGGGAGGCACATTCCAATCATGGAATTTTAGTCTCTGTTGTGGTATGGAACGAAATTATCATCATAATAGTACTAGTAGGTACAGGGTCCAGGTGGCCAAAAAAATTGAAACCGGGAAAATGGTGGTTGAAGAAAAAAAGAAAGAAAAAAAAAAAAGGGGACTCGAATACTGTATGTAGTGTGTACAAGAGTAAAATGTCTAGAATATTTGCTTCATTTTTCTATTGTTATTCTCTCTCACTTCAATTCCTATTCCAGAAGGAATATTGAATTCAGTCAAAATTAAAACCAATAATTATAAGTCATCATTATGTTAATAATAATAACAATGCCAATAGGAGATTCTTCAAGAGTAGGAATCCGGAGTAGGTATCATAAGGAATCGTTTTCTGTCTCATTGCCTGGTCCCTAGCGTGTCACCCCCGCTTGCGATATAAACAAATACCCATTCAATAGTACTTTCCCAGCGGTTAGTGACTTGTTTTAGCAGCTATACCGTTGCTACACTACTGTCACTGCAGATAAATACCTCCCCCGGCTTAAATTTTCCACTTCTTTCCTCTTCCTTGTTTCCCCCCTTGTGCCTTCTTTTTTATCTCCTGCCAATTCCTTTTCCCTTCCAGCAATTGTTTCCCTCTCCTCCCCCCAGCTTCTCTCCCCATTCTTCACTTGCTTTTTGCGTCTGGCCCATTACATTGATTTACTGATCGATTGAGGACTTCATTACTACCCATCCATACATTAACATACACCACCCAACCCCAACCACGACCATTATGTTGCCGATCGTGTTTCTCTCCACTTTGGTGGCCTCCGCTACTGCAGTGACCACCGCCAGCAACTATACCTTCCCTGAGGGGTTCGATCTGAACCAGGTGAAACCCGCGGATAAGTGTAGGTTCTCGTCCCGGTCGTGATACAACATGTCTATGGCATGATCACCAGTCCACAGAAAAACCCACGGAAAAACTAATGAGTATTCTCAGCTGCCTGGTGTCAGGCCGAGCGGAACGCCTGCCCGAAGATCTGCGGCGGAGTTGCTGATAAGAACACTTGCGACCCGGTATGTTTAAACCACACACCACGGCGTTAGAGAGCTCTGGAGAAGCTAACAGACACAGCAAACTCTTGGTTTCACTTGCTCATGCTCCAATGGCACCGATGCTGACGTCGCATCGTACGCGGAGACTATCCCCTTCTTTGTCTGCCAGGAGAACTACCGCCAGTGCATCGAGCGCTCTACTGACCTTGACGGCGACGAGAAGTGTAAGAAGGCCCAAAGCCAGTGTGGTTCGAAGAATGCGTCTGATGCCTCTGGCTCGTCTTCATCGACTACCACGAGCACATCCTTGCCTACCTCGACTGGTTCTTCGGGATCTAGCAACAGCGAAGGCTCATCCACCGGCACCGCGACGAGCAGTGGCAGCACAAGCAGCACAACCGCTAATGCCGCTGTGCGTATGGCCCAGGACCATGCGACAGGAATCTTAGCAACGGTACTCTTCTTGGGTCTCCGTCTCGTTCTGTAAGATGGTCGTTTCGGATTGCACCGCGGAAGGCTTGATCAAGTCCTGATTATGAAATGTGCCGCTCTGATCCGTCTCGAGGAAAATTTGTGCTTGATGGTTTTTTTTCCCCCTCTCCTAACTCGCTTTGTGTCTATGACCTACCGTTGTCGTACTATTCCCCTGCTTTTGCGTCGCGGTTAATGAGCTGTATCGTTCTGTGCGTGCCTTTAGTCATTCCTTTCACGAGTTTAATCGATGATAGTCCATATGGAAGAATAATAGTCGCTCTTTGAGATTTTCTGAAGACTCGCCAACAAGCCATTAAGTTTCGGAAAGGGACCGTCGTAAATGTAGAGATAGAAACTCTTGGTTTCTTTTGAGTATATACAAGAATCTACTATAGATCGTCACTATAAACGCTGATCCATCGTAATTCGCGCCAAGACTTTTTCCCACACTGAAATTTCTCCACCGCCAACCAACCACAACCACGACGGAATTCAACTCTCGCTTTCCTCCCCTTCTCTCCCTCCTTTTTACTCCTTTTGCCTGTCATCCTCACAGTCCCTCATCAGAATGCCCGCACCCACTACTACCCTCCTCATCGAGGGCTCCTTCAGCGAACTCGCCGACGAGTTCGCCCAGTACCTCGACGCACTGCGCAAAACCGAAGGCAGCACCACCACCATTCAGGCCGAAATCTCCCCGCTCTTGGAACCCCTCCGCCAGCAGGAACAGAGTGACGCTGAGCCCGATCGGAAACAGCGTGATGAGGTTCTCAAGAAGCTGGTCTCGGCGGCATCCGTGTTGAACAATGCTCCAGAGAAGGGTGGGTTGTCCCTCCAACATATCGTCCAAGCGAGAAGGATCGGGATATCAGGCTGCATGGCAGAACAGAAACTGACACGCCAATAATTAGAGATCATCTCCGCCTATAACCTTCTCGTCCATCTTATTCACTACGCCTCAGACCCTGACATGTTCCTCTCCCGCATCTGCTCTTACCTCGCTAAACCAATCACCTCTTCCGCCCAGTTCGGTCCCTCGTTGGCCATCTCTATCCTCTCCACCATCTTCAACACTCTCGCTCCCACCGACTCCAGCCGCTTCCATGTCTTCCTGGGTATTGTCGCAGTCATTCGTCAGTCCGGCTCCTCGGTCGCTTTCGAAGCCCTCAAGCCTCAGTTGACCGCTCAGCTGCCCACCTGGTTGTCCTCCTGGGAGTTAGATGAGGAAGAGGCTCAGCGCCTGCACCTCGCCGTTGCAGATGCTGCTCAGGCTGCCGGCGACCAGGAGTTGGCGCAGACTCATATTGTGCAGGCTCTGCAGACCATTCCAGCTGCGCAGGCTTCATCCAAGGAGGCCCGCGACCTCGCCATCCGCGCTCTCACCTCCGCTCTCACCCACCCCGCTGTGTTCGACTTCACCCCTCTGACGGCCTCGGACGCCGTTCAGGCTCTTCGCTCCAGCGACAGCACCCTGTTTGAGCTTCTTGAGATCTTCACAGCCGACACCCTCGACGCTTACGAGGCTTTTATCACCGCCACTCCCTTGGCGGGCATCTCCGGTGGTGTGCTGGCTGACGCTGGTGAGGCGCTGCAGAACAAGATGCGTCTGTTGACTTTGGCCTCTCTGGCCGCCTCGACCCCTTCCCGTTCCTTGCCCTATGCCACGATCGCCGCGGCTCTGCGTGTGCCGGCCGAAGATGTTGAGAAGTGGGTCATCGATACAATCCGTGCTGGTCTGGTTGAGGGTAAGCTGTCTCAGCTGCGCTCCGAATTCCTGGTACATCGCGCCACCTACCGTGTTTTCGGCGAGAAGCAGTGGGCGGAAGTGCAGGGTCGCTTGATGGTCTGGCGCCGCAGCCTCGAGAACGTTCTGGGCGTCCTTCGTAGCGAGCGGGAGCGTTTCGTTCGTGAAAGCCTGCAGGCCGCTGCAGCAGCAGAGGAAGCTGCCCAAGGCAAGTCGAACGACAAGGGTAACAAGTCTGGAGATCGTCGGCAGCGCCATGGCAACACTCAACAATCTCAGCAGCAACAGCAGCCGCAGGAGGTGGCAGCCGCAGAGTAATCAACTCTAAGAAGAAAACACCACGATACTCATTGGAAAGGGAAAAGAAGTATAGAAAAGTTCGTCGTGTAATGGCTGGGAAGAGGTGTTATGTTGTATTTTCATTTTCTTTCGATTGTTTATTCTTTGGTTCATGTGTTCTCTCCGGGCGACATTTTTATCGGTTCATGGTAGCTATTTGTTTCTAGACAGGTTCCGCCTGGCATGTAGTTAGGATTGGGCCCGATCAATGGACACGAGTCATGTCATGCATATACGAAGTGATATAAAATTGGGACTATGTCTTCATATATGTCTTGATATATATCTAAATCTATATATATACACACATAAACCGGCTACATTGTACTTTGAGACGTAGGTGGACATTGTATGTAAGGGAGAAAGACACTACTCCATCTATAAAGCGCTAGCTACACCCCCAATAAGAAAAAATATAAAGATCGCTGACACCGACACACATTATAAATAGACATAGATTACTGCTGATGGACCCCACGCTTCTCGAAGCCCTCTTGGATACGAGCATACACCTCGTCAACAGACCCCGTAGCCGACACAGACACAACCTTATCCTGTTCCTCAAAAGCCTTCACGACAGGCATACTGGTGTCAACAAACGTGCGGAAACGCTTCCGAATAGATTCAGCATTATCGTCATCACGACCGGAGGTCTCTCCACGCTTCAATAAGCGCTTCTCCATAACATCCTCCGGGCAGTCCAAGAACAGCGTCAACTCCGAGGGACAGACCGTATCCTCGAAGAAAACAGCCTGATCCAGTTTGCGCGGGAACCCATCGACCAGGAACCGGGCCTTCTTGCCCTCCCCAGCACCAGCACCGTTCTTCAAGGCATCTGCCATTGCATTCGACAGTAGTGCCACCGTGATCTCCATCGGAACGATCTTGCCCTCCCGGATATAAGTCTTGATCAATTCACCATACTGGCTTCCCTCACGGATCTGCTCGGCGCGCAGCAGATCACCCGCTGACAGATGGACAAAGCCGTAGTCGCGGACGAGATTGGAGGATTGAGTGCCCTTGCCACTTCCGGGACCGCCGAGGAGGAAGACCACCGTGACTTCGGAAGGCGAGAAGCGAGGGGTGGGACGTTTAGTGTCGGCCATGTTTCTTTTAGTCGGAGAGTAGATAAGTCCTTAGGGGGTGGGGGGATAAGGTAATTTAGGAATCAGGAGACTGAGAGTCGGGTTTCGGTTTGTGAATGCCGGTACGGGACTTGACAAGGAAGATGTAGGATCCTGAACCGATGCCAATGATTGCTAGGAACGGGAGGATTTTGAATTGGGAGCGGTTGTATTGCGAGGAGTTGGGAGAAGAGGAGGAGGAATAGGGGCGGTGGTGTTGTTCTTGCCGGAGGTGGTGGGGTCGGGTTGATGATCTTGCGGTTTGATTGAGAGAGAAGGCCACGCGGGAGCGAATTGGGAAGGCGGGATTGCGGAGGACGCCAGAGCAGGGAGACATCTGGAAAAGAGGGATCGAGGAGTATTATATTAGACTTAAAGAGAGCAATTGGAAGAGTGAGAGAGACTAGTTAGAAAAGATAGTTCCGAAAAAGAAGAAACGAAAAACACAGACAAGATGCCTGGAGGATCGGGTTCAAATTCTTTCCACATAAGGAATAGTGTGTAATCAATTGGTATGGTAAATAACACAATGAACGATGTGAAGTATACACAAAAGATGTATACCAGGTGTTCATTCACTGTTAAACAAATTGTTCTCAATGAACCCTAATAGGGCATTTAGGACCCTATATCTAGTTTTCTGGACATGATTGTCACTTGTCTCTTTTACCTCTCTATTCTGACTGGTACTCATATACATACCTCACCACTCAAGGACCATATTTACATGAACGCCTTCCATTTTCTCGTGTATCATACTCAACGTCTATGCTATCTGCCTTTTCTCAAATCCAGTATTCACTTCTATGATATTTCAGAATACACTTGACTCACCCAATTCGAAAATCTCACCTATCTAATCATACGCCACTACCATGCAGACTCAGCGAGGCGTGGCCGTCGAAACAATCGAGCATCTCGCAATCGACGAGGCAAGGGTAAAAAGGATCAAAGCTCTCTTGACCAACCTGAAGAAGCTCTTGGAAATGGATCTGATTTTTCGCATTTTGGAAAAAATGCTTCTCGCTCCAATGTGAGTCAAGCATCATCGTCATTGACCGTTAGCCCTAACCCAACGGAATAGATTCGGGATAATGGAAGAGCTCGCTCTCGAGCAAACCAAAAGGTAAGATACATGTTATACCTCGTCTCTAGCTTCTATTGAATAAAAATTCCAGGAGAATATTAACCCTCACTCGCCACAAACCACCCAGACTCCAGCGAATGCGTCAAACACAAGAAAAAGAAACCACCCTCAGAAGCTGGACGCCGTCCGTTCATCACCGCGAAACCATGCACACGGTACGGAAACTCCAGAGCCTGTTAGACACAAGCACGAGCATACCAATAGCAAGCGTGCGCCTGGGTCTCCACTGGCTTCAAAAACTGACACTAAACGACAAAAGGCGGACTACCCAACACCAGTACCAAGGATTCTGATCTCCCAACCCGCTCCTAAATGCTCAATTTCTGCGCCAAAAGTACAAGACAGCAAACCGTTAGTTTCTGGAAAGAAAGTCAATTCCCCCGAGGGACCGGCAAAGCTGCATCGCTCTTGGGCCTTCCTGCAGAGATCCGTTGGGAGATCTACCAGTACCTTTTCGAACCGCATCGTGTAGAAATTCTCCGTCGCAAGGATAAGAACACCAATACGTCTAGGCCAGCTCGCTATAGGCTTTACCATCGCCAGCAGAAGCCTCGCAACCCATCTACGCAGGCAGTTTTTAGTAATGGCCACCGCACCAGGCCGACGCCATTCTTATTTGGCCTTGTCTTTACATGTCGAACTATTTATTGCGAGGCAGTTCTTCTGCTATACTCGACTGCGCAGTTCATATTCAGTTCCTCGAATTCCATCATGCGATTTCTTAGAACCACATCCAAGGATCACCAGGCTGCTGTCCGTCATGTAGAGCTCAGTCACATCATGTACAATGAGCCGCGGTTGATGGCGTTTCGCACATTCAAGATCCGCAGTGACATTGCTTGGTACATTGCCTGTGATGAGATGGCATCAGCCTGTGTTTCTCTGAAGGTGCTACATGTCAGATTAGCCATTTACGACTGGCCCATCCGACTGAAAATAGGCGAGCCCTGGTCTATGCCGCTTCTGCTGTTCGGCCACTACGACGGAGGCTTAGACTATGCGGGCGTCAGCTTCAAATGAAAAGGTTTCAAGACGACAAACTTCGGTCTGTGGCACGCGCTCTGGAGCAGAAGATGATGAAACCGAAGATGTTTCAAATTCGAGAAGATGAACGACTAGCGAAGGAATTGATGGGACCGATTAAAGCAAAAAAGATCTTGAAGTTAGTGGTTTAGCCATTTAGGCGTTATCCGGACGTAGTTTTATTTGCATTTTTACCAGAATGGCAGCGGTAACTCCCTGCTGAATGGTTTAGGAAAGGTTATCTGCTTACAATACTGCACGTTCATCGTTACAGATTGTGTTTTTCTATTTAATGCTTCGTTTTGTCCTTTGGCTTTCCCCCTCCCCTCCCGTTTCCTTGGAGGTACTACAGAAAGAGACCCTGCGATAGGAAGCAATTATGCATCAGTTCTATGACTAAACTTTGATTTGCATCCAGGTATAGACTCGATGTATACGTAAATCGTTAAAAAGGAAAAAGAAAAGGAGGGGGGGAGAGCGGGATAGAGACAGATTATAGAGTACAACATTAAAAAGATACAACGCCAGAGATATGCAGTGGACGCTTTGCAATATGCCGTGTATACAAACCGCTAAGCATTCGCCATAGACATGGTTTCTCTTTTGCTTTCTTGGTGACAGAATCACGGTCAAGTAGACCGTTCGTTCAATGGCTGGCTTTCCTCGGAGGCAACCTCGTGGTATGCCTGCATACTATGCCGCCGGAAATACCAGTACATGCCCGCCAGAAGTCCGCCCGTAGAACATAGAACTAGAACAAAGATGAGAAGGCCCCCGACTCCGCGGATGACCTCCCACGCTTTGTAGATGGATTCGGCCGCCTCTTGAGCCTTGACGTAAACTTCTTCGGCGTCATCGGCGTCATCGTCCACAGCAATGGTTTTGTGCTCATGGAGATCCGATGGATCGTGGGGTGTTGGCATGGTATTGCCTTGGAACCCGGCAAGTCGCCAGTTACTCGGGGGCTCGGTCCGTTGAATCTCAGAGGTCCCCAGGACGTTTCCGTCCTTGTCCACTGCTTCCACGGAGACCCAGTCCAGGTAACCATCCGCAATGTACATCGTCTCGAAGTCGAGTTTGGTGGTGTTGCCTACCAGCACAGGCATCCCGTCCTGATTCGCCCGTGCGTAGAAATTCCACGAAGCAATATCCGTTGCGCCGTTCCAGCTCACGTGGAAGATGGTAGTGAGATCGGTTTCGTCTGTTCCATAGACGGACGAGACCACGTCCGGCGGGGTATTGGGCCGACCAGTGAAGTCGAATTTGTACGACCGGTAGGTGGAGAAGCGAGAGGAAGCAAAACGGGCTTCCATAAGGACGTTACCCTCGGGGGAGTGCTCAGATTGGTATCCCCGTTCACTCCAACCCACGAAGACGTTCCCATTGGGCAGTGTTTGCACGTTTCCGCGCAGCCGAGTAAGGTCCCCGTCCGGACGGTTGTATCGCGCAATGACCTTTGCGGTCATCGGGGAAACACTGGTGTGGAGCTGCACGTAGAGAGCACTTGAGGTGTCTTCTCCCTGTTCGAACTCGTCCGAAGCGTTGTTGAGGAACGAGATGGTCGTGTGTGTGGCGTTGGATTCGATAAAGCGCACATGGTGCTGCTTGGAGAAAGTGAAATCTTGGACGAAATCAGACGTTTCCCCACCAAGCCGCCAGATGATACTTTTATCCTTCCCGGAGATGAGATAGATAGTGTTCGTGAATCGAGCTGAGAGGATATAGTCGCCAGCAGCATTCTTATCGACCGCGTTCACATGAATGTAATCCCAACCAGGCGGGTCGGCAACTGGTGTTGATGGGTCCAATTTCACAGATTCATCAAGAGGGATGTAGCCTTCGGAGTCCCATTCAAAAAGCACCTCACCCGTAGCTGTGTCCAGCTCAACCAAACCACCGGTGAAAACCCAGCTGTACTCCTCAGGACGACCAAGGGCACCCAAGTTCATGTACTTGCTTCGATACGTGCAAGCTAGAGCCATCTTTCCGCCGTCAAGGACGTTGAATTCGTGCATGTTGAATGCGGCAAGGTCATTAGTCACCGGGATGGCTTTTTCCGTTTCATAATGCTGATCCAAAACATATGCAGTCCCCTTCTCATCGCCTTCGAACCGAAATGTATGCTGCAAGATAAATGACAAGTGGGAGCCGCCATCAATGTTAGGCACCGCTTTGAAATCGAAGATATTGCGGTTATCGTATAGGCACGATCCAGCCCAGATGAGAGTCTGGATAGACAATGTGAGTCAGCGTTTTTCTTGCAATCTGGCAAATCACAAGCAATCCATTTCAGGTGAACGTACACCGTCTGCATCGTATATGTAGGGCCCGACTTGGCACGGCTTCCATTGCTTCGTCGGGGGCTCTGGGTCAATTAAGCTATAAGGCGCAACGAACCAGTAGCCCGAGCTTACGGCGTCGCGGTCATAGTAGGTGATATCGAACTTCAACGCCCTCACTTGTGGGAGCTATGGTCTGTTAGCAGCTTACTGTCAAGGATCATCGGGCATACGAACTGTCACGAAGGACATAAAATCATCATCAGATGCTGCGACAATACTACGAAAGCAGAGAAAAACCAAGGCCAAGAAGAAAATCATATTGAATGAGCGACTAGGAGTGCTCTCCTGAAAACTAACAAACGAGAGGACGACAAAAGGAGAGACAAGTTCATCCAGAATATAGTCAGATTATAAGCATAGTCGTCGTCGTCGTCTGTCAACGCTTGTTTGAGCTATAGGAGTAGGGAGTTCATTCCTTGCCCGGAGGTCCTGGGGTTAGTCCGTACGGAGTCCGGGCACATATAAAGACAACATGATACTACGTAAAAGAAAAAAGAATAAAAAAAATCCCGGAAAAAAGGAGAAGAATAGGCTAAAGCACTCCACAAAGAGGGCTGGCTTCGATGGAGCATCTCCATAAAGATGGTTCGAATGGCCAGTGACAACGTAAGTGCTGAGATGGGAGCTGACGATCGAGCCTTGGCGATACTGAACGAGGAGCTGGCCAGCCAACAGGATCTTGAACCACGGAGTAGACGGTGGATTCAATGCGTACGGTCGATTTCCGGAGACGTGGTGTCCTCCTGAGCGTCGTCATGTCCTGCTAATACTGTTCAATCCTCAAGTATGATTGAATGGTGGACAATAGCAGAGGTCAATTGATCCTGCGCTGTCAGTTCTGCTGGCAGCGTGAGCAAAAGAGATTGCAGACGACGAAACTCAATTCGCGTCCGGCACAGAGTACCGTGATTTCTCGGCAATTTCCACCTGATCCAAAGATCTCAGCGTTTTTTGGAGCGGATCGACAACCGGAATGTCCCAGAGTAGCAGATAAAGTGGGTTCCTTCGCTCCCTACCCGAGTCCACACGTGAGCTTTGATTCGAATTGTCCTTCCGTAGTAGTAGTAGTTGCTAAAAAGTCCTTTCTTTCTTTCTTTCGAACTATCCTTGTTTACGGAGTTGATAAACGCAAGACAATCTGAAGCACGTATGAATCCCTCGCTCCCTCCCCAGAGGCACAGGGTACATACGAGAGTACAAACTACTAGAATCAGTGATTGGGGTTGGTTCATAGGAGATGCAAATCTAACAATTCTAATGTTAACGATCGGAAATCAAGGATCTGCGTAAGCCCATCTAAGCTCCACGTTGGAATTTCAATCCAACCCTATACTCTACACCATCGTAACCACAGCACAGCGTTCTTCCATATCAATACGGCTGGTTGGAGTTGGTCGCTGTTTTTAGCCCATCCTTTGTATTTCAAATCATCTTGAAAGAGAGTTTTAACCGGTCCTTTTTCCCTCTCCTCCAAAGCGGATGGTGAGATCTTAGGAGTTAATCAGGAGTTTCGGAGAATCATATATGGAACGAACTGTAATTCCTTATCCTTGGTTATCCTGATTTTGATCGCCTGATAAGTATGCATACTCGGCAATGTCAGGTTCACCGAAGCCTTTCGGGGAATACGTAAGAATCTTTGCTAGGGCTACAAGAACGAGTGCTTCCGTTCCCAGCATATCACTGAGGTCGAGAAACGGTGGAAGCAATTGTTCACAGATCTTTTGGATGTCGATTCGCGTAATATTGCCAGGCCCATCGTGACGGAGTGCATCAACGGTGAGTGCCCACGCAAGAGGATTGTACAACACGCCTTCATGCGTATAGAGGCCACCAGCGGCCTTATTTGCGCAGATGGTCTGTAAATGATTGTTGGATACGCCCACTCCGCTGTGGTCCAGTAGCCGAGCAGACGCATTCTCCCCACTCATGGGCATCACTACCGTGTCGAAGGAAGAGTAAATGGTGGTCGTGGGAACATACGCAGAGTCTCCCCGGTTGCTTCGCAAGACCTGTATAAAGTTTGCATCCCACCCTTGCTGCCAAATCGAAGGAGTACATGCTAGCTGGCTCAATAGGGGGCATGCCATCCACCTGACTATTGTTCCATGGAAGTCGGGGCTGATAGCGATGAAGTCATTTACTACGTTTCGGGTGGAGGGCCAGTACTTCAGTGCCCACTGAATATCCAGTGCACCTTGGGACCAAGAAATCACGGCAATATTGGATGATGTCAAAGCGGAAACATAGTTGAGCGCATAGGCGACATATTCGGCATTTAATTGAATGTCGCCTAACGAGGCCTGAGGAAGATCGACCCAAACTAGATCGCTTTCGGGTAAGGCTTTACTCAACTTGCCAAAGTTGAAATAGAAGTTTATGGCTGCAGGAACAGCGGTTCCTGGTACCAGAAGCACCGGTAATTTCTTGTCCTGTTTGAGTGAGAATGACTTGGGAATGTGAATGGCTGCCCGGAGAGTATTTTCCGCAACGGAGTACGGCGCATCACTTTTTGCTTTGTATGGGTATATACTCAAGTTTTCTGGGGATGGATTGTTCCGGTGAATTGCATCGAGGTCAATAGTGGCGTAGTCATTCAGCCATGCCAGTACTCTGGAAGGTATCAGGCCGGATGCGGTGATATCGTTTGCAAATTCTAAGATATCGGTGGCGTTATTCGTGAAGATTGAACCAAGTCTGGTCCAGACAGACTGCACAGAATGGGTCCTTGAATCTTTACGGTTCTTGATTTGTGCGACATTGGACAATATTGAGGAGACTCTCTGTGAGATCCCTATGTCATTGATGGAGAAGTCATTTGCGACGAGCGATAACGTCGATACAAGATCGAGATCGGAAGGTAGCGAAGTGCTACCTCGGCAAACATCTAGACGTAGGGCTATTAGGCTCGGAACAACGCAGTATGTGAAACCAGCTATTGAGCCGGGCATATTGATTCTCATTTTGAGGGCTCTGCCAAAAACATTGCATCCTTGGAGATCGAAATTTTACCACGGCGGAAACGCAGCTCCTCGGCAGGAAACACCCAGTCTACGTTTTAGGAAGTGGTCTCGATATAGGTTCAATTGCTGCACCTCTCCCTCGCAATGAACCTATTCTGGCATACTTGACTATCTTCTGTTGCCATTTTTCTAACCTGTACTTTTGCCATTATCTCAGAATTATCTCCCACTGCTTCCGTTGGCTGTGATCTGCTATGGCAACACTGTTGCAGTATTTCCCCAGCTTCTAGGAAGGTGGTGGCATTGCGTCTGTTTTGTGCAGTATTTTCCTCTACTTGATCAGCAGCGTCGAGCATGTAAAGAAAGAGGATTAAGATATTCAAATGGTGAACAATCCATCGAATTTTGAAGAAAGAGAAATTGATTCGACGTAATATGATATTAGAAGTTTAACATGAACAAGTCAGTAGGTAGACAGGTAATATCCCATCCAAAGAAAGCTAAATATAATTATACTAGGTGCAATTCGGCATCATCTCATTCACCCCAGATGTACAGTAGAACCACTCTATCCGCGTTGATAGCTCGCCAACATTCCCATAGTCCTAGTGCTCAATGACGAGGTCCGAGCACCCAAGAGCGACTGTGCCACCCTATAAATGTATGTTAGACGAGACATTTCTGTCTTTACTTTTCTTTGGCCCTCTCGGAAAGAACTTACCAAGAGGTTGGCTTCAGTGCAGCACTTAGGCCCAGCTTCGCAAGAGTCATCCCAGGCATGACCTACATGGATTGGTTAGAGATATGTACCACCTTCGTCTAATCTTTCCTATGAAGACACGCGTGGCGGATAGAGACTTACAGGCCAGGCCAATGGAACCCACAATGCTTGCAGCGTTGATTCCTAACTGCTTCAAAATCGGATCAACTATAGGATCAAGAGGTGTTTTGAGCTCGCCACAGCACAGGTATGGCTTGACACAGTCGGCCTCGACAGTTTCGCCAGAGGAAGGAAGAGCCAAAGCGATGGCTGCGCCGGAGATGAAGAAGGAGAGCGCGGTAGAGAACTTCATTGTATTTGACGGTGAAAAAGTCTTACTTGAGAAAATAGATGGAGAGATGAGGAAGTAGCCTTCAAGTCTGAGTCTGCTGGTTTACTGGATGGAAGATGTTCTAGGGAAGTATCTGAAAGGGTTCAGGTCACCTTTTATATTCGAGATTGAGAGCGAACCCTCGGGTAGAGCTCTTCAGCTACGTCCGTCCTATCCAAAGGAAAAGACATGATAGTCCAATGGTATTCCAAGAGTCGTTATCTCGGATGAGCTGAGAGGTCAGCTTCAGCAGTCGGCATTCAGCAAAATATTAGGCCCAAAGTGAAGTTCCAGAGGCAGATGATTTCCCAGATGGGGTCTTGATCCACAAACTATTCAACTTTGATAAGAGTTAACTAAGTCCCATGGGATGTATGTAAGAATGTGCCCTGATACTTCGTAGATCCCAGCACTATCGAGATCTCCATGCAGGGACAGAAGTGTTTCCGGTGGACTAGGTCATATGGTATAAATTATCCCTACGATTTGATAGGCACTACGGAGAGAATGGAGGTCAGAACGAAAGCCGGAACCAAATCTTACCTTACCTACTCCGTATAGTTCGTTGGCTAAGCCCTAAGGAACTACTCCGTAGTACTACAGTACTACAATAAAGCATCAGTTCCTTATCAGTGGAGCCCTCGCATTAGCTCCAATCAGACTTAACGCCATGCCCGATGATCAGCATTCAGCCCCAGAAGCGAGGGGAAACCATCTGTGCATCTCCATGATGGCGGAGCAGTACTAGCTAGAGCAAGGGAAATAGGCCGCTCTCGTTGGTCTTTACCAGGCGACCCTTAGTATCTAGTCGGTGGTGTGGAAGGCGACAGAGCATTGATAAGGACCGTATATTAATGTGTCATCGTATTTCTTCGCCCCTGAGATCTTGTTCGATCAAAGCGTCATTAACAATTGAACCTGCAGCTCCTGAGTATCCTTATAATTTGAGTTTCTAACTTCCCCTTGCTATCTTATACCCTGATAAGCATTGTAGATCCAGACCTCTTTACGTAAAGATGAAGAACCAAAGACTATACTTCAATCCGACTTCAGAGATAACACATATCACAAATTCCCACCTCCACCACACCGGTTCTCATTCAGTTCTTGTTATCCCAAACAAGTTTGCTGCGCAAAATATCACTAAATAAACCTAATGAGAAGACTGCTACTGCCCTTGACTATACGGGGGATACAAGATTTGATCTGTTTGTGGCTTTTCTCTGTATCTCTGGGGTTGGTTGATGGTGTGTAAGTAAAAAGGAAACCACTAGCTTTGGCTTGTATCTTCCAGTGAAAATTTGAATATCTATGAGCTTAGAAAGATTTTGTTTCTTTCTTTAGAACTTCTTGCTCTCCATGTTTATTTCCTCCTTTCTGTTCGGTATATACACACGTGATGTGGCGGTGCAGAGCCGACCAAGCCAAGCCTTCTAGCCACAAGCCCACTCGCGACACAAAAACTCAACCCGCAATTATCAATTTCTCCGCCGCTTGTGATCTCACCATCCGCCGAGATACCCTGACGTCTGCGCGGAGATACCTTGTTCTTCAGAAATCGATTTCTGGGTTTATTATCATCTCCGGACATCATGGCACCCATTTCCATCGCCGACATTGTGGCGGCCCTGCCTGCGGAGGACACTTGGGGCCCCGCGACCTCGACTGACAATATGCTTGAGGGTGTCCCATTTGCTCCTTTCTCTAAGGGTGACAAATTGGGTCGCATGGCCGACTGGACGTCCGAGTCCAAGGACCAAAGAGGCGGTCGTCAGGCCTACAACCGCAACTTCAGGGGTATGAGTTAATCTAGACAGTTAAATGCGGGTCCGCAGCTAACATACCAATCATCAACAGACCAGCAAGTGTACGGAGCCGGTTCCTCCAGCCTGTTCAGCATCCAGGCTGCTGAAGATGAATCTTCCTTCTCGGTCGTTGACAACACTCGTACCTCTGCCAAGCGCACCTTTGGCCGTGGTGGTGGCACCGTCTTCCGCGGCCGCGGCCAGCGTGGCGCGGGCCAGAGAGGCGGCCGTGCTGGCTTCCAGCGTGTTGGTGCTGGCCGTGGCCAGGGCGATCGCTTCTACGACAACCGTGCCGGCCGCAGTAACCGTGGACGTCGCTTTGGATGGAAGGACTACGACAAGCCGCAGAGGACTCGTGAGCCGTCCGTCAATGTGCGCCCCGACTGGACTATGCTGGAGGAAGTGGACTTCAGCCGTCTGCTGAAGCTTAACCTGGAGGCCCCCGATGGCGAGGACATCGACTCGTATGGTTTCCTCTACTACTACGACCGTTCTTACGACAAGGCCCCTGTTAAGGGCGCCGAGCGTAGACTGCAGTCTCTTGACCGTGCTGCCTACAACGTTACTACCTCCCAGGACCCTGTCATCCAGGAGCTCGCCGAGAAGGACACAGCCACCGTTTTCGCTACCTCCGATATCCTGTCTATGCTTATGTGTGCCCCTCGCAGTGTCTACTCCTGGGATCTTGTTATCGTGCACCAGGGCAACAAGATCTACTTCGACAAGCGTGAGGGTGCCTCGCTCGACTTGGTAACCGTCAACGAGAATGCAATTGACGCCCCTCTCGAGCTTGCCGAATCTTCGGGTAAGCAGGAGTCCATCAACACTCCCAGCGCTCTTGCCATGGAAGCCACTTTCATCAACCACAACTTTGCCCTGCAAACCGTCGCCGAGTCCCAGGATGCCAAGCTGGAAATGAAGAACGCCAACCCCTTCTACAATGCTTCTGAGGAGACCGAGCCTCTTGCCTCCAAGGCCTACAAGTACCGCCGCTTCGATCTCTCCTTGGAGCGTGACGAGGAGCCTTTGAACATGGTTGTCCGTACTGAGGTCGACGCCCTCCTGAAGAACCCCGTCAACGGCGAAGACCAGCAGCTGATCGTCAAGGCGCTGAATGAGTTCGACAGCAAGGCCCAGGGCTCCGGTAATGCTCTGGACTGGCGCAGCAAGCTCTGGTCGCAGCGCGGTGCCGTTGTTGCCACTGAGATGAAGAACAACAGCCTTAAGCTTGCCCGTTGGACCACCCAGGCCGTCCTTGCCAAGGCCGACGCCATGAAGCTCGGTTTCGTCTCTCGTGCTAACCCCCGCTCCGCCGCTGGCCACGTTGTCCTCGGTGTTGTTGGCTACAAGCCTCGTGATCTCGCCGCTCAGATGAACCTGAACCTGGGCAACGGTTGGGGTATTGTGCGCACCATTGTCGACCGTATCCGCGCCCTGGACGCCGAGGAGGACGAGGAGAAGGTCAAGAAGTACGTTCTCATCAAGGACCCCAACCGTCCCGTTCTCCGTCTCTACAGCGTGCCAGCCAATACCTTTGAGGAGGATGAGGAGGCTGCCGCTGAGGATGAGGAGCAGAAGGCCGAGGAGGATGAGGAGTAAATTGCTTATGATTGAGTTTATTCCTGCCATGATATCATAATGTCATGATGTTTCTTTCGAATTTCCGGATACTTTTTGGTGAACATATTCAAAAGTCTTTTAGAGCTCTGAACATGACCGTTGATGTCCTTAACCGATTTGATGACTTTCCAGCGTCTCTAGAAGGGTTTGCTCTCCAAACTACACCCCGTACTCATAATACCTATCGTTTCTTGGAAGTATGATCACTGTACTCTCAACAGTATCCCACTGCCCGTTACTCATTCCATGAATCCCTTATTCTCACGCCGATTCCAAATCAGCACTTAGGACTTTGCGATTAAGACCCGCCCAGTAGCAGGAAAGAAGACAAGACGCTACTACCTTGTTTCACCTGCCTGAGCATGGCTATGATCCGGTGGTAGCATATTTACGTACATACGCACTGTGTACTACGGCAACAACCATCATGAAACCAACTTGTTAGACAAGTAACGTAGAGCTGACAAAGTAGGGTAATTAATCT